GCCAAATGGAGACGCTTGATAGCATAACCACTCACACCAAGGATACAGTGTTTGTTCTTGAAAAGAGAGGAGACAAAATAATAATAATAATAATAATGATAATATAATAATAATAATAATAATAATAATAATAATAATAATAATATGGTTACCTGTTCAGCGACCTCCCGAACAGCTTGTATGCTGGTACCATAAAGGTTGTCTTTGTATCTTCCTGCTTCAATGAACAGGTGGGCTTGGATGTCTCTCTCCATCTGCTCGACACTCGTAACAAAATGATAATCACGTCCGTCTACTTCACCTTGACGTGCTTTACGTGTTGTATCTAGAGAAAGGGAATTCAAATGAGCATCTTAATCTTTCAAAGTTGCTCCAAAATCAAGCTAAAGTCCCTGTACTATAGTACACGGTCTCGGGCCAAATTTCATCAAAAATAAAAAGTATAGAATTCTTCAATTTTATAACTTTTCCTGATGCATATACATGTTCTTATGTTGTGTAGAAAGTTTGAGCTGATTCCAATCAAATTTGGATTTTTTTACGAATTTTTAAAGTTGCTACAAAATCAGGCCAAAGTCCCTGTACTATAGTACAGGGATTTTGGCCGAAATTCACCAAAAATAAAAATGAGAGAATTCTTCATTTTTATAATGTTTCCTGATACGTATACATGTTCTTATGTTGTGTAGAAAGTTTGAGCCAATTTCAATCACGTTTGGATTTTTAACGAATTTTTAAAGTTACTCCAAAATCAGGCCAAAATCCCTGTACTATTATAGTACAGGGTCTCAGGCCAAATTTCGTCAAAAATGAAAAGTATAGAATTCTTCAATTTTATAAGTTTTCCTGATACATATACATGTTCTTGTGTTGTGTAGAAAGTTTGAGCCAATTCCAATCACATTTGGATTTTTAATGAATTTTTAAAGTTGCTCCAAAATCGGGCCAAACTCCCTGTACTATAGTACAGGGAGTTTCATCACAAACGGCTAATCCTGATAGGCTGATACAGTACATGATATACTTACGTGGTACACAGCCAGCAAACTTCTCAGGGAAATCATTAACTAGTTTATCATTGATGTCCTCCTTCAATGGGCCCAATACAATGACTGGCCTAGCGTACCCTCCTATTAAACATATTCTAATTAATGCACACCTACACATCACTTACTCTTCTGTAGTGTGACCGGCTCATAAAAACTCAACATTTCCTCATCTACAGTGAAATGAAAGACGGTTAATTAAGTATGCATTATTTGAATTATTTAGAAGATAAGTGGCTTAGAAAATTAAATTAATAAAGAATGAGAAAATTTAATAATAAAATTAATTAATATACATGTACGTACTATTTTATTCATTTATTATTATTATTATTATTATTATTATTATTATTATTATTAATATTATTATTATTATTATTAATATTATTATTATTATTATTAATATTATTATTATTATTATTATTATTATTATTATTATTATTATTATTATTATTATTATTAATTAGAGACATGATTCCTGAAAATGTGACGAATTCCCCAACCACTACAGACCTAATGCTAAACTTGTCAATACCACATATTAACAAGATGACAAGAGATAATGCGTCATGTTTACAACGAAACACACAAACAACTCTCTCTTAATTCAGTAGTAGTAGGATATATTGACGAGGAATTTACCAACAATGAATTCCACTATAAATTAATTAACTTTACCTTGTGGTTCTTCCGATTGTTCAACTGAAGACGCTGTAGCATTTGTCTGAGGAGAACTGTTCCTCTTACCAAATCCTAACTTCTTCTTAAAGCTGGTCCTCAGCTTGGTGGACATTGAGCTACTCTATAAGGACAGAAGATTAATGTCAGTAAATTATCATAATATCATCCTCTCTCTCTCTCTCTCTCCTTACTCTTCTGTCATCTGGTTCACCAAATTTAACATTCTTTGTGCTAGTACGAGCTTTCTTCTCTAATCTGTACAGAGAAACATAACTATCATTAATATATGTACATGTAATGTACCCAGTACTTAATGACAGCAGCCAAGAATCAAACTACATACACTAGTACTAGTATTATTACTATTATTATACTAATAATAAATATACCTTTGTTTGCTTGGTATGAGTCCTTGTACTCCATCTTCAGCTGAAGGCCCCACTAGTGCTGCCTGCCACCATTCCTCGTCACTGCCATTGAGTACATGAAGTATGTCTCCCTGTTGGAAGGAGACAGCTTCACCAGGTCTGTCCATATCATTGCTTCCATCATAAGAGAATAAAGCCCTGAAGAAATAAAGATATTATCATTATCATTATTATTATTATTATTATTATTATTATTATTATTATTATTATTATTATCATCATTATTGTTATTATTATAGAGAGTAGGTAGTTAATAGTAGTATGGGCCAGGCTAAACAAGGCCATCCACCTCTGTTGGAAGGGAGGGAGACCTGCTTATTATTATTATTATTATTATTATTATTATTATTAAAATTTTATTATGACTGTATGGTAATTA